TGTCAGCATGGCTACCATTAATAAATCAACAAAGAACAAGTGCTGGTGAGAATGTAGGAAAAGGGAACCATTGTTGGCAGGAATGCAGATGGGTGTAGCCAGTGTGGAAAGAAAGCAGTGTGGAGTTACCCCCCAAAATGTAAAATGGAACTGCCTGATGACCCAGAGATTCCACTTCTGGGAATATATCTAAGGAAATCCGAAACACTGATTTGAAAGAATATATGCACACCTATGTTCACTGCAGTGTTATTTATAATAACCAAGAATTGGAAGCAGCCAAAATTCACATCAGTAGATGAGTGAATAAAGATGAGCATTTCATTGTGGTACATTCACACAATGAAATACTACTTGACTATAAAAAAAGGAGATCTTACCATTTGCAACAGCATGGATGGACATGGAAAGCATTATGCTAAGTGAAATAAGCCAGTCAGAGAAAGACAAGTACCATATGATTTTACTTGTATGTGGAATCTAATGAGCAAAATAAACAAATAAACAAAATAGAAACAGACTTGGAGATACAGAGAACAGACTGAAAGCTGTTAAGAGGGGAGGGGGGTTAGGGGACTGGGTGAAAAAGGTGAAGTGATTAAGCCAAAAAAAGGAAGACAAAAAAGCTCATAGACAGAAAACAGTATGGTAATTACCAGAGGAAAATTGGGGTGAGGGGAGGTAGAACAGCGTAAATGTGCATTAAGTAAAAGGAAAAAACCCTCAGGAATGTGAGATTTCCAAGAATTCAAGAGAATCATGTACTTCAAGGAGGAAATAGCTCTCTTCCCTTCTACAATAACCTTGGAGGCCATCTGTTCCAGATGGAGGAAAGCTAAAAGATTCCATTTGGACTTCACATTTCTTCTTGGTTCCTCTCCTCCAGGAATCTTTTCCTGGTGTTCCAGGATACACCCCTGAGTCTGAGGAGCTGACAAGTTATCACTGTGTCTCAGCACCTGGCATAGTTCCCGATACACACACATTCCCCACAGACCATCCAGAGAAGCATATTTTTTCCCCCACTAGTTTCTGCTTGGAGGGGGCTTCATGGAAAACATTTCTTCCTATTGGTGTGATCACCATCTTGTCAAATAATGAAGCTTAGGCGTTTACTTCTTTAGGGGTACATGTTGGATTTAAAGGGGACTAAAAGGAGAAAGAGGGTAGGGACTGACATGGGATCAGAAACATATCTTTCTAATGAAAATGGTTGTGTGTAAGTCTCTTTAGAAGGGTAAAGAGCTAGTCATTCTCATTTCCTCAAGCCCCAAGCAAAGAGGCACAAGTATGATACTTGCAAGTTTAGCGAGTTTAGTAGTCAGCAAACTATAGCTCATTGATCAGATCTGGCACATTCCCTGTTTTTGTATAGAGTGTGAACTAATAATAACAGTTTTCACATTTTCATTTTTTTAAGAAAGACAATTTTATTTTATTTATTTTTAGAGAAAGGAGAAGGGAGAGAGAAAGGCAAGGAGAGTTACACTGCTGTGTGAGAGATACATTGATCTGTTCCCTCTTGCACTCCCCCAACTGGACCTGGCCTGCAAGCCAGGCATGGGTCCTGACTGGGAATCGAACCAGCGACCTTTCAGTTTCCAGGCCAGCATTCAATCCACTGAGCCACCCCAGACAGGGAAGTAATAATGGTTTTTACATTTTTAAATGGTTGTAATAGAAAAATCAGAAGGAGAATCATTTTAGTAGCATGTGAAAATTATATAAAATTCAAATTTCAGTGTCCATAAATAAAGTTTTATTGAAACACAGCTTTGTCTAAGTTTTTATATATTGTCAGTGGCTGCTCGCACACTACAGTAGCAAATTTTAGTAGTTGAGACAGATTATATGGCCCACAGAGCCAAAATACTTACTATCTGGAGCTTTACAGAAAATGTTTGCTGACCTCTAAGCTAGATTATTATAAAATGCTTGCTAACCAAGATGGTAAAATAACCTCTAGTATTTCATTGTTCTTACGTGATCAATTTTGGCACTATTTTAAAGTTACAAATGAATGAAGGAACCGCCTAGCTTCTCAATGTGAGGAGGGGAGGCTGTAGCTGGTAACCCAGCATTTCCTCCTTCTTTGAGGATTTCTCACTAAACACCCAAGTCATCCCCACAATGAAGAATTGTGTCCTCCTTTACCTTTTCTATGGCACAAGCATAAGAACGTAACGCTTCCTTTAGTCATTGTCCACAGTAGAGTGTTAGCAAGACCAAAACTTGAAAATAAGATTTTTAAAAATGGTGAACAAACAGAAACACCAAATTGATAATATAGTTCTGAAGAATGGCTCATTCATCTTTATTCTGGAGTCTCTACCTGGGTGTTCTAAGTGGTCCCAGCACCTGAGGACATTCTCAAGCACGTCCGAACATCAGGCAACCCAAACTCAAGAGTGTTTCCCCACTAAAAGCAAAATATGGTTGCTCAGTTCCCAGTATGAAGCCTGCCTCTGGTGGAAACTGATTGTGGGACTGTCCTAAACACAGAAAGAGGTTTCTTTCTTCCTATCCCATACTTAGTGATCATTTAAAAAGTGTTTTTTATGAAGAGGACCGTAAATGGAGTTAAAATGAACAACATAGGAAAAGGCCATATGGAGTAAATATTGGCCTCATTTTCACCAACATGATATAAATAACTATGCCCAATTCACCAGTACACAACATATTGCTCTTAGTTTTGTTAGCAAAGGATCATTAAGTGTGAGTAACTAAAAAAAAAAAAGCTTACTAGTAATTTTTTTAAATGCCAAGTTACATATGAGTACACATTAAAGGGGTTTAAAGGAAGAAATGTTAAAAAAAGTTCACACCTTTTAGGTTTACATCAGTTGGTGTTTCATAAAGAAACTGATGACAAAAATAGTGGTAAGAAGCAAAAACCGTGCAGCAGCTCAGGGCGAGAGAAAAGAAAACCTACAACAACCCACAGAAAGATCAAACACTGAAAAGGGAGATTCAGACACTGAAAGGAAGCCAGCAGAGCTTTGTAACCAGGGTACACTCAGAGTATGGGTTTCCTTCTTTATGAATGCCTGAATTACCCTGAATAAACCGGCTTCCTTGGTTCAAATTCACAGCCATCCACAAGTTCTCAACCATAACAGTGAGTGCAGCCATTGTTATGATGGTGGTTTATTTTACAGAATACGAGAAAGTTACTGTCCTACTTTGAAGGGCTTTCAATTCAATGGATAAACTCTTAGAAAAGAAAACCTGTTTCACACATCTCCAAAGAGGCCATTGTCAAGAATTTGCCAGCCCAGTGTTTCCCTTGTTTATAGTTTATCCTGTGATATAACAAGTACTTCTCAGCCTATTTACTACCTTGAAGTTAAACATAAAATATGGCCCATTTTCAAGAATTTCATCTGCATTATGTATAAATAAAATCCAATCCATGAAGTACCTTTTAAAAATGCATTATTTTGACTATGTGTATAATAAAAGGATAAGAGTAAGGAGTAAGCTCTGAATTACAAAAATGGCAAGCATGTAAGCAGAGAGCAAGTGGCTCAACATGAAGAGATTTTTTTATAATGAAATGAGAGGAAATAAATTCTAATGTGTTGAATGAATTCATCTTTAAACTTTTTTCAAAAAGGGAAATGTAATCCATACAAGGAAAAGGGAAGAAATACAATTATCTTATAATTTGTATATCAGAAATTATAGTTTATTAATAGGTCCTTTGGGTGCTTGGACATCACTGAGGCATTACCGATAAGTTTCATCAACTACCAAAAGTAATTATTAGCTCACAGAAAATAAATATAACTTAATCACAAGACTACTTCATATGCACACACATCCACGAGTTTCACAAATAAGCATATACATTACAAAATCTCCAGATAATAAAGCGATGGATCATATGCTAATAACTTTTTCTCTGAGCCAAATTTATGCAAATTATGAAAAGTTCCATGCTATATCATGAAATGAGGGCTTTTGAATACTATATTCAGATGGTTATATCTTGTGTCTCCAAAGAATTGTTAATACTGGCATAATGTTCATATAAGCATTTTTTGCTTTAATAAAATATTTAATTATACTTCAGTAAAATTATCTTCCCATAATTACAAAGAAAGAAAAGTCTGTAGACTGAAAAATAGAGCTGATATCCTTTCCAAAGCTATGGTCAGTCTGTTGGCACTCATCTGAGCTGTGAGTTGAACCCTTGGGAAAAGCAATGCTGCAATATTTGGAGGAGACAGATGGCTGGATGTTACATTTTACTTTAAAATGTCATGTCTCCAGAGTCTTCCTTCTTTCAAGCCTTTAGCAGCTTATAAAGCCAAATTAATTTTTATAGAATACAAAAGGTAAAATATATTAAGGTTTAATTATGAAAGAATGAAATTAATTACTGCTTTTTATTCTGTGGTATGAGTGAGTTACTGAGATAGTAAGTGGAACAGAAATAGTAAGTATAGCCCTGGGTGGTATAGCTCAGTGGATTGAGCATGGGCCTGTGAAGCAAAGCATTGCGGTTCGATTCCCAGTCAGAGTACATGCCTGGCTTGCAGGCCAGGTCCCCAGTAGGGGTCATAGGAGAGGCAACCGTACACTGATGTTTCTGTCCCATTCTTTCTCCTTCCCTTCCCCTCTCTCTAAAAATAAATAAATAGAATATTTTGAAAAAGGAAATAGTAAGTATAATAGAAATAAGAGTTACAACCAAACATTACTGAGGTATAAGCTTGTAACCAACATGAAAATATGTGCCAAACAGGAGTAGGACTTAGCTAATGTTAAAAATTTCCTAGTAATATAAACATATCTCTCTGGACAGTTTCAGAATTTAAATTAGTGCAAAAATTGTTACTTAAGACAATCATACTTTTTGATTTAGTATCAGTACTTTAGAGATTCCATTCCAAGAAAATCGTTGTGCATCTTTCTCTTTCCCTCCTTTCTCCCCCCTCCCCACCAATCCTTTCTTTCTTTCTTTCTTTCTTTTTTTTTTTTTTGACACATACCTTCTTCTGGTGTTTGCATTCTCAATGATTCACTCCAGTCACTCCAACTACCTTTATACAGATGCAGCTTAGAGGAAACCTGAAATTCATATTCTGTAAACGGTTCCAGATCCAACAAATCATGTCTTCCTTTGGCATTTGTAGCATTAACCTTCAAACAGACAAGATTTTTAAAGATGAATACTAAAACGATATTAATTTAAAGAATTTTAACAAACAGGTAAATAAACTAGACCAGATAACCCTTTTTATTTTTTTGAATCTGTCATTCAATGAAAAGAAATATCACTGGCTGGCTTGCTGCGTGAACATGATGTTAATCCGAAGTAATAGTGTCTCAAAAACACCACCCAAAACTCCTGAGATTAAAAACCTACCTATATGAGTTCCAAGGGGGATCCTAAAACTAGATGAAAAAGGAGTGAAGGCTGAAAACTACCAATTTTGAAAAGGGTCTTGGAGAAGTTTCTACACTAGAGATTATTTTTTATTTGGTCGCAATTAAAATGTGATGCATATTTAGACATTTACATAGACACAGAACTGGGTTCAAATGGAACACTTTGATTATAAAAGAATAATTCAATTAAAAAAGTTTAATTACTATACCTCTCTTGAATATCAGCTTCTTGTGAAACTAACTGATCCTTTGCCATTATAAGACATTATATTTTACAAAAATACTGGAAGGAATTATAATTCTATATTTTTATTGTAAAAAAATGAATGCCTAACAATCAAAGTGTGGAGCTTTATTTTGAAATATTAAATTCTATATGAACTTTTATGGACATTCCCTAATATATCTCTTTCCAGTATATTAAAAAATTACTAAAATATAATATGGGACAGGGAATAGAAAAACAAGGAGAAATGAGCCCTTTACTGGAAATAAAATATAGAAAATTAATACTGGTTTATAGAAGGTTACGACTTAAAAAATTTCTAAATCAGTGATTAGAATTCAAGATATTTCTTAATAAATAGAGGTGCATGTGACTTTCTGGTGTATCTCAAGTATGTACTTTTGGGCATTATTCTTAAATTACCTATTTTGCTGGTCTGAAAAGACAGTCTGTGCAGCAACTCTAAGAAGCCCTGTCTGTGTCTCCCCTTCACTGGAAAGGCCATTACCATGTTCCAGGATCTGTTGTTATTGGGCCGATATCTGAGTCGATTAAGCAGCACCATCCCTTCATCTCTCCACCAAAGAGTGCATCTGCCCACAGAAGCATTTACAAAGTTGATTCTGACGTCCCATGGAGGAAGAGGCCTCACTGGTAACCAGGACAAACAAGAGAGTGTGATTCGAGCTCCACAATCAGGAACTGCCTTATACATAGACATGAGCTATAAAGAGTTGAACAAAAATTCATCTCCATGATCATGACCCCCAAAGTCGGAGACATAAACAAGAGAGAAGTCCCTGGCTTTTAGAAAGCCGAAAAAGTTTGATTTGTTTCTAAATTATTAAAAGAATTCCCCTTGCTTTTATCAAATAAACTACCACCAACAATAGTAGTAGTGTTGATTCCATTTAATCCAATGGTTAAGATTAAGAAAAAAAATGTGCCAAACCTGAGAGTTCCAATGGCTGAGAAGGCAAAAGTGGCTCGTGATGACCAGCCCCAAGAGAAGAAATGTTAGTAGAAAAGTCACAGGAAGGGACATAGGAACAGGGGAACAGAAGAAAAGAATTAGGGAGAAGAAGGTGGCTTACAGATGTCTCCGTAAAGAAATGGAGGGTAGGATGGGAGAAGTGTGATAGGAAAATGCACAGTAAATGCCTATGTTCAGACATATGGTTTGCAGTATGTATGCAAAGAGATGCTGTGGAAAGAGAGAAGAGAAACACACAGGGTGAGGCTGGAACTTCAGGCAGGCTGGAAACCCAGTACTACCTGGGATGGGTAGAATTTAGGAAGGCCTGAGATTGGTCTTTTGACTCAACTGGGCCAATTATATTTGCTCAGAAATGTGCTGGGACTGGTCATTCTGGCAACCAAGCTGAGAGTAGTGGAGGTAAGCATACTCAGAGAAAAATGCATATAAACCTTGATACATTTTATTTATACTTTGCACCAGCTCCTTTGGCCCAGCTCAAAAAAAAAATGGAGCAGCTACAGGGGTAAAAAGACACCTCTGCTATTAAGAACTACACTGAGCTGCTTGAATAGCTTCACAGGACCCTTCTTCTTTTAGTCAGATGATATTACTGGTAGCTGATGCTTTCATGGGATTTGAAGCTGGGAGCTCCTATTTGCCAATATAGAGAAAAATGTTGAATATCTCATTTTATACAACCATCTCTATGTAGCTCTAGGATCATGCACCTTTTACTTGCATCAAAGTAAATGTTTATCCTCTGTCAGTACCTGATGGTCACTTTCCACCAGTCACTGTCTCTTTTGAAACAATCACATATAGAACATTTAAGTGATATTTAAAATAACGTTCATGTGCCAAAGTGAAATAAAATGTACCTATATCCAAGAATGTGAATGTGATTGGGAATGAAGAAGCACTTCCAAGACTATTGACAGCAATAACCTTGGCTGTGTAACTGAATTCAGATGATTCAGGGATTAGGTTGATTCCAAGATCCAAATGGTCACAATAATCATTACATTGCTTCTGCCAAGTTAAATTTTTTGGTCCATTTAACCTGTAAATAAAAGGCAATTGTGTTTATCAAGGTACTTTATGTGCTTTTTTCTCCTTTTAGTCCAAAAGAACAAAATTTTCAAGTGCTTAAAATTCTAGACATATTTTTAAGGTCAGCCTTATTACTAGAAGGCACACAACAGAAGTATTTGTATTCTGTAGTCATAAATAGGACCATACTCCCCCCATCCCTTTTTCATTTTTTGGTAGGACTGAGATGTTTTTGGTATTCTATAAGTAAATATCCAAACCTCCACTGCCTGATTTCCCCAAATCCTGCCAGACATCTTGGCTCCTTAGGTCATATCCAAAGAGTCCATGGCCACTTAGGTACAGTATTTACTGCACAGAAGAGCCAGTTCCTAGAACAGAGCAGAACCCTGGTGCTCACTTAGGGTTCTTCCTTTCCCCCATCTGCTGCTCACTTAGGTAAGTGCAACCCAGCTGGCTCTTTGGATGGGATTATGGAGTCAATTATAGAATCTCCCAGACTCTCTCTCTCTGTGGGCTCCTAGGTCAAGCAAAAGTGGATTGAAAAGAAACACCTCCCAGACAAATGGAAAGCTCCCACGAGGAAGAGTGTGTTTTATATATCATGACCACAAGAGTCTGCAACTGCAAAAAAGGGAAGAGATATAATAGGGCCAGATTAGCCCTACGAGAGCAGGGAAGAACATCTATAACCTGGGCCTTGGACATCCTGAAGACAATGCTTGAGTTAGACCTCAGACCCAAGACATCAGTCCTCACCCTTTCAATGAATGAAGCAGTTTTAATTGATGAACACTAGAATTTTTTAAAGCATCTAATTATCAATTATCTACAGCTATCTATTGCTTTTTCTCACTGATAAAACTACAACTATTAGATATTTCTAAATGTCATCTTATAGAAGACCCACGAAAAAGCAGCAAACCCAGTCTCTCACTCACTGTAAAGTGTATGCAGTATATAGGTGGCTGTCTCGTCCTCTGTCCCAGGTGCAAGCCACTGTCCCACGTTCTCCCTTCTGTGTACAAGATACGTTTTGAGGCTGCTCCGGAACAACTTTAAAATAAAGAGCAAAATCAAATATTTTAAATGCCACACAAGTGATATTTCAATCATATTTTCATTATTTGTCAACAAGGTAACAATACTTTCTCTGTATGTCCCATTCCCAGAGTGGCTGATATTTATTTTAGGTCCCATCAAGTTCAAACTTGCCTGTGAGGCATGAATTTCTTCTACTAACAAGAGCAATCACAGTGGCTATGGACCAAATACTTACTATATGCCAAATCCTATGGTAAATGGTTTATGTGTGGTTTTTCTCAATTATACATCATAGCAGCTACATTATGTACATGCTATTATTATCCTCACTTTATTGAAGAGGAAACTAAGCCTCAGAGGTTAACTGTCTTGCCAAACATTGCAAAACTATGAAGTGCCAGAAGCAGGGCTCAGGCCCAGATGGGCTGCCTTGAGTCCGAGCCTTTTCCCACCATATTCTATTATTCTCCTGGGCAGGTGAACACCCAGTGCTAGCTAGCTCCATTACCCCGATGATAATGAGTTCACCTTTTCAGAATAAAGGCCACTCAAATATTAGAAACCTCCCATCCAAGTACTAATCAGGCCCGACCCTGCTTAGCTTCCAAGATCAGACAAGACTGGGTGAATTCAGGGTGGTATGTATGGCCATAGACCAAACTGGCTGAAACTAGTTCAGTAACCCTCGATACCAACCCTTCAGTCTTACACCAGTGTAGTGGAGCAGGGACTGCCTGGCTACTTAGGATTGGGAAGCAAATCTAAAATCTGCTTTATATTTAAACGGATTTTCAACCAACTTGCTCATTTCTAGCTTCACTTTTACTCTCACTCCCAGAAGTATAGGGTGTCATCAATTTCTGAGTCTTTCTGAGGTAGGAGCTTCTGCATGACCTCAGATGCATCTTGACTTTTCCCACAGCAGGGGCAGGCTAAGCCATTTATCACTGGTCCACCTTCCAAAATGTGGTTGGTGTATCTCCCCTCCCATTTTTTTACTCCTTTAGAGCTTGTGCCTCTAGAAAACTTTCTTTATTCCATCCTGGCCTTATTTCAGGGTGAATGAGAATAAATGTGTTTAAACCTCCATTTTTACCCTAACTCTTCATAGGGTCTTTTGATGACCAAATGAGACATAAAATACCTGATACTCTTACATAATGAAAAGTCCTCATCCTCCCCTTTACTTCTAAACATTGCAGAGATTCTGATTTTTAAACACCACAGCTTCGACCCACAGATCATCTTTCTCAATGTGAGTTCCCTGGACCAGGAAATCAAGTTGTCTACATCATCCCAGGACTGGGTTTTGGGAGATACCATCTGTCCCAGGGGAAATCAGACCTAATTCTCCTCAATACAAATGTATAGTAGCTTATTCCAAAAAAAAAAGGATAGAAATCAAAACCTCTAAAAATTAAAATAGTTTTTAATATAATAAATTGTTATGAGCATTATGATATTGTTTTTAAAACTTTTTACTTATTATGGGCAATGAAAAGTCTCAGAAACATAGCGTTCAGAAACAATGACAAAACATATATTAAAAAAACGAACAAAGAATCCATTGTCTTTCATTTTTTGCCTTGAACGTCTAGTTTGTGGATCAATCCTAGGAGGTCAAACTAAAGCATCGATTGCTTAGTTACTACACAGTCAGGATGAGCTCTGAGTAACAGAGCAGCACAAGCCCACAAAGGGGCAGGGAAGAAATGGTGAAAGGCTATTTAGCTGTTCTCCATTCTAAAGAACCAGCCATCACACACAGGACCTCTCAGGAACTGCAATGGCACTATGGATGGACAGCCACTTATCACAAAAAAGAAAATGGGTGGCTTACTGTTTTGCTAGATAGGATTAAGCTTGCTGCAATGGGTGAAACCAACATTCATTGTGTCTTTTCTTGGAATGACTAGCCATATTCAGAAAAAGGTGTTGCTTCCAGTCAGTCCTTCACCTCAAAGGTGCTAAAGTTGCTCAAAGGGCAGCCATTTCATGGTGCGGTTACAACTTGAGCACACTGCACAAGCAACGTTCAGGCACGCGGCTCCACCCAACGGAGCGGCACCACGACAGATACTCCTTACCATCTCCCTAGATCTTCTGAAGCTGCAAAATGTCTCAAATGCACATGCATACTCTGGGTGGAAAAGTAAAAAAAATCGGAAAGGAGTTTGCAACACTCTATCTGCAATGAAACAGAATGGCTAAAGATATCTGCAAGGATGCTGACTTCTGAGGCTATTGTTAGCCTACTGAAAACCAAAACACCAGAGGCCTGTGGACACCTGGAGCTGACATCATGGGGCTGGGAATGATTAATACAAATATGTGACATCGGTCTGGTAAAATGGCAAATTACCTGGGTGAAATATTCAGGTATTCTGAGGTCAAGGGAAGTGAAGACCATTGACATTTTTTAGAAAATATTTCATTTTCTCTGGAACCAATGCTTATACTTTCTTTTAAGGAAAGCATGTTCAGCTACTGAACACACTGAACATGTGAAGAAAAAAGTAAAACTGTACAGAAGTGCAATCTTAGCACTTATGACCTATGTACCTCCTATGTGCCTGGTGCTAGATTATTAAGCACTGTGCATACAAGGTATCATCTAATCACTGCAACCATCTGATGAAGTAGATGTATCTTCATAACAAAGATGGAGAAAATGAGGCTCAGAGAATTGAAACTGTTTAAGGATATATTGCTAGTTGCAGTGTTATAATTCTCATGCTCCTCCTGTAATACCACAGGCTGTTGGAGTTGAAAGTACATGTCCCATAAGTGGTATGAATAGGAGACTGAATTGAAAGAGGAGCACTGCACCTACTTTATGTCTCTTTACCCCCAGTGGCTTGCTTGACCATTGCTTGGTGTTCTGCTCAATACTTCTGGTGACTCTCCAGGAACATCGCCTGGCACTAATCATAGCCTTATAGGTCACAGAGAAGAGGTTTCCATCTTTCCCGGAAAGAGCCTTATTGAGCTCTATATCACTGTTCATAAGGGATCCTGTCTTTGCATCTTGGTCAGCCTGCTGTAGCAATTCCTCCTACTCTCCTTACACCTCTCATCTGCTACTTGGGAGCTTCCCTGGAAGCACAGAGGCCCAAAGTATCATGCCATCTCTCAGGGCCCATGCTTGCTCACTGGTTTGCCTGGCTGGGCTTTTGGGGCTGCAGCTGCAGGCAGGTGTTCTGTTAGCTTATCCTGTGCATTGTAGCTCATGCTGCAGTTGCCAGCTCTGACATCTTAGTGCTTACTCCCCGCAGCTGCCTGGAGGGACCAGCAACAAAAGCAGCACTCTGGGGGAGCTGATGCTCTGTTGGTGAACTCTGATCAGTGGCAGGTTCTCTCTTTCCCCCTTCCTTGCATTTCCATTTGTTCTTTCCGAGGATGTCCCCAGTGACCAAGGAAGTGGCTGTGTTTTTGGTTGACTCTGTGACCAGCTCAGAAACTTAACCACCTTGTGCTTTGCTACTTTCCTGGCTCACACTTGTTTCCCCAGAACTGAACAACTCTCTTACCCCCAGGGAGTGTTAAAAGGTCAGTTTTGCCCCAGGCAGTTTTCTAGAAAACCCAGGAAAAGATAGTAAGTATGACAATAGTTTTCTTTTAATCTCTGTTAAGTACCATAACCAACGGTCAGAAGTGACTGGATGGAAGAACTATTTTTTGTGCATTAGTTAGAGAGGGGAGAAATGCTCAGTCTTTGGTAGTCAGCCTGGGCTGCCTAAGTCAAAAAAGACATCTCTTTCTTCTTTTTTTAGGAGGTTGTAGCTTTGAAAAAATTATCTTACGAAGGCATGAAGACTCACCTGAGAGATCCATTTTACTGCCATTGGAGTTCAAGGGCAACAGGTAAATGATGTTAATGGCCAAAAGGGGGAGGGAGAAGGGAGTGCTAGAGAGAGAAAGGGGCAGAGAGAAATGAGAGAATAGAGACTTATCAAATGAGACCCCAACTGTACTGCTTTCTGGGCTTCTCACACTGAGGAGCTCATGTTGCTTTCAAGATAAAAAAAAAAACCCAAGTGGTGGGAGAAGAAATAATACTGTCCTATATTATTAATATTTCTGCTTAGCGCACAACAAATACCAAACGATCGCCAGTTTTTAGGAATTCAGAATGGAATGCTCACCGCCGACTGAGACCTCCACCCCACATATGCGAATCTCCTCACTATTGCTGCAGCTCAGTTTGCAGACAAACAGTGTCGTCCCCAGAGGAAGATCTGAGACCTGGAAACTGAGGGAGTGGCCATGCTGTAACATGATCCTTTGGTAGAATTTGTAGAGGATTAGCTTGTTGAAACTGGAATATCGAGGGCAGCCTTGTTTCGGCTTCAAAGAGCAGGAGATACTGACAGCTGATCCCAGGGAAATCACGCGGGAGGGCTCCACAGTCACATCGCCTCTCCTGCACACATCTGCAGTGGGACACAAGTGCAGTACTCAGTTGGCATGTAGGAAACCCCTTCCAAATGCAGGGTTGTGTGAGTTCCCAAAGCAGAGTAAAATGAGCCCCATCAAACAGTGGAAACACAAGCAATCTCTGCTTCCCTCCCTGTACTGGTGATGTACATTGAGAACAGAAGGCAAGTATATTAAAGTCTAACTAAATTAAAACATGCATTCTTCTCAAAACACTAATACTATAATCAGAACTATAAATAGGAAAGTGGTGAGAAAATAGGGTTGGAAGAACATTCAAGAACTCAGTTCCAGGAAAAGCCAATCTCTCTATATGTAAATTATTCACCAGACTACTAAGAAGTACTTCCCAGAATAAATCACATTTGTTTCCATCTCCATTTATAATTTATAATGCTTACTTCAATAGTCATACCAAAAAGGAAAAAAAAAGACAATTTTAAAAGGCTATTACAAACTTTAGGGGCAGATTTGGGAATAGGTCCCTCTTTTGCTATATTAGTGTTACTAAGTAGGTGTACTCTATTACATTATTTTATCACAGGAAATATTCAAGGGCTCTGGTGTGTTTGCAGTTGGCAACAAGGAGGAAATTAGGTCTTACCATGCCGTCTTGATGTTCCTTCAAGATGTAACACCCTACGCTGGATGAACCATTACCCAATACAGTTAGTACAAATTATATGAATGTATTCTTCTTTTAAAAAGAGTTCTCCATATTATTTACTATATGCCAGTTACCACATTCAACTCTTATTTAAAACTCTTCTTACCACTAAAGTTTTTCTACAAATAAATAGGACAACTATTCAGAATTATCAGTTTTTTGTGGTACTTAATAAGTGCCAGTGAAATTACCTCAGAACTATAGATCCACCCTGAACTTTCAGGTGTGATATATACCCTTCACTGAAAGTCTTTTTTGGCTAACTGTAAGACTGTTTGGATCAATTCTCATCCATAGAAATTGATTTTAAAAAGTTATTTAAATCAAATAAAGGAAGTACTGAAAATTCATTTAGAATAAAATGTTCTCACTTCTATTCTCAGAACTAAAACTAAGTCCTTTCTCTTATCTTACTTATGTTCGTTTTCTGCCTCTTTGATCTTTGATCCTAACTGGCCAGAATGTCGAAAATAAGCTCCTAATAGAAAAATCAAAGCAAATGATAGTCATTATTTTTTTAAATAGTTGAATTCACCCATTAATACCCTCTGTTAAAATGCATTGTAATATAAAACATTCATGATGCTGGGCTTGGCTACCTAGCCATTTTAGCAAGAGGAGATGATATCACTGAACTCTTATTTTAATCATTAGTATAAATTAGATAAAATACATATTAATTACATACATAGACCAGACCTATTCACTTAAATGACAGGAGATTAACTACAAAAGACCAGCTGCCAGAATATTTACCATAAATGCATACTGCAGATGTAACTGAGAGTTTAAACAACAAATCCTTCCACAGATTAGATTACAGAAATATCTTACCTATTTTTGCTTTAGCCAACAGCGACATGATGACAAAAGTAAGTGCCAAAGAGCATGCTCTAACTGTCTGTGCCATGAACTGTCACCTCTGGAACACACCTCTATAGTTCCCCTTGTAAAAGAAGACAGAGCCATCGTGTTAAACACATTCAGAAAAGCTTAAAATGCCCCTATAATTTTCTCCACATTGTTAATATTTTCTTTGTTATTTTCAAATAATGAAGTGTACTTTTAAAACCAGTAAATTGAAAATTTTAGCCATGTCACTAAGTTAGAAACTTGGTTTCTAGTGACAGTTAACCTCCATGTCACTTGGGTTTTTTGGGGTCAGCAGATGGTGGGAGAAGAGACATGGCTTTGGAGTTCTTTAGAACTGGGTTTAAATACCTCGAGACTATTGGCAAGTTGTTTAACTTTCTAAGCCTCAGTCCTACACAATTTTTTTCTTCCAAATAGGCTGCATCATTATAGTCAAGCAGAGTAGTGTGAAATTCCAAGAGTAACAAGAATTTTTTATCTAGCCACCTGTTTCTGGAAGTAACAAGAGATTAAAGAAAGGCTCATAACCACTCCCCTACCCCCCAGAACTTTAAACATTTTTTCTCTTTGGCAGTAGGAAAGGAATTCTAAGGGTTCCAAAGAGTGCTGTTTGGATTTTCTGTATGAGCTCAATTTTACTTGTGCGTTTGCATGTTTATTCATTATTTCACCAACTATTTTCATCTTGAATGGTTTGGAAAATGCAAGCTGGTGATTTCTGATTGTTTCCAAATTTAAATCTAAGGAATGGCTTGAGTAGTCATTAGCAAATTCTCTAAATTCTATTAAAAATGGGACAAAAATTCATAAAGTCAGATGGAAAGTTCTCTGATGTCAGGCCACTGCAAACCAGTCAATACAAATGTTCACTTGTTATTACCATACCTAGGGATGTGCCAGAATGTATGGGAGAGCCTCAGAAAAATCAGCTTATTCACTCAATTAGTGATAACTACTTTTCATGTGCCAAGCACAACGTTAAGTGCTAGACACAACAGTTGCCCTAGTGGGCTTCCAAGGAAGTGCTCACTTGCTCCTTCGACACCTCTGTCTCTAGCCTGGGCATCACTCAGGGTAGCCCTAAATAATATCAGCATGTTTCTGACAGTCTTTGCTGGTTTCCATTCCTTCCCATCCTGAACTCTTGGAGGATCTCAGCTCACTCAATGCACTATTTTTCTCTATTTCTACTTCTTCCTGAGAGATTTCGTCCGATTGCCTGGCTCTAGGTATCATCTGTGTGCTAACGATTCTCAGATGCATATCTGAGCAACTCAGATGCAACTCAGACTTCTCCCTGAGCTCCAGTCTCCCATGTCTGTCCCTTTGGCATCACTTCTTGGACGTCTAGCAGACTACTCAGTATTAACATGTTCAGTTAGAATTTTAGGTCTTTCTTCTCCAAACTGGTTCTTCCCCCAGCCTTTTCTATCTCAGTGAATAACATTTTTACCCCTTAAGTTGCTCAAAAACCTAGAAGTCATCCTTGCTTCTACACTCTTTCTCATCCCCTACAACCAAGCCATCACTAAGTCCTGTCAATTTTACCTCCAAAATATATCACAGATCATTGCACTTTTCTCTTTTCCCTAGTCCCAACCACTGTCATCTCTCCCGTCCATGACTAAAGTAGCCCCTTAAAGTGCCTCTCCTATCCACCTTTGCCCCTTTCTAAGTTATTTTTACATAGCTGACTATCTTTTAAAAACATAGATTATGTTACCTCCTCACACCACCACTATTTAAAATCCTTAAATGGGTCCCCATTGCAGATAGAATAAAATTCGAAGTCCTTACCACACACGATTGCTCTACCAATGCATGGTCTCACCTCTGCCAACTTACCATCATCATTCGCTTTGCATTTCTGCCCTGCTCTCTCTACTCCACTCACACTGGCCTTCAGACTATTTGTTAAAACAAGATGTGCCCTTTGCTGCCCCTGGGGTGGTGGCGGGGAGGGTGGCACTCTACAGTTTCCATTTCCTCTGCTAGAATTCTCTTCCCCGGTTCTCAGCGGCTGGCTAACTTACATTCTTCTGATCATATCATGTGTCACTTCCTCAGAGAGCCCCTCCTTGATCACCTAGACAAAGTAGTCTTGCTCAGCTAGCTACTTTCTACCCATTACCTTATTTATTGCCTTAATGGTACAATCTGTAACTACCTTGTTTATTTACTTGATTACTTGTTTGCAATCTATCTTTGTGCTAGAATTTAAGCCACCATGAGAGCAGAAATATTGACTCTCTTGCTCACTACTGTATGCCAACACTTAGCGATAAATGGTTATTCAAAGAAAGGAGGGAGAGCCTGGCTGGTGTGGCTCAGTAGATTGAGTGCCAGCCTGCAAACCAAAGGTTCACCGGTTCAATTCCCAGTCAGGGCACATGCCTGGGTTTCAGGCCAGGTCCCCAGTAGGGGGCGTGTGAGAGGCAACCACGTATTGATGTTTCTCTCCCTGTCTTTCTCCCTCCTTTCCCCTCTGTCTAAAATAAATAAAATCTTAAAAATAAAAGAAAAAAGAAAGCAGAAAAAGAGTGAGGGAGGGACTAAGAGGAGAAGGAAGGAATATGATCTATATAGAAAACTCCCTAAACATCTCTGTGGTAGGCAGAAAAATAGCCCATGTAAGATGTCTATGCCCTAATCCCTTATCCTCAGAACCCCTGAATATATTACATGACAAAGAAACTTTGGAGATGTGATTAAAATTAAGGACGTTGAGATAGGGAAACTAGCCTGGATTATCCAAACGGGCCTGATCTAATCACATGAGTCTGTAATGTGGGTAAGGAAGGAAGCAGAGAGCTGTGAAGCACAAAGGACTAGACCTGCCCTGCTGTCCTGAAGATGGAGAAAGGGGACCATGAGCTGAAGAATATGGTGGCTTCTAAAGTCTGGGGATGGATTTCAATTTACGGATAATATAAAATGTATTTTTTTCTGGGGGTTCATTAAAAATGTGTGAGAAACACAAATCTAAGCAGAAATCTGACAGTGTTCCTCTTTCTTAACCATAAAGTCCAAGGTTATGTCTTACGATGGCCCCTGTGAGCTAATTTCTGTCCTTTATCACCAGCCACATCTACCACCGTCTGCTGACATTCAACCGTGTAGTAACATTGAGCTACGTATAGTTCCCTGCACATCTCATGCCAATTCTTGCTTCTGCGCCTTTCTTTGTTCATGCTGTTCTTACCTTTCCATCATTCTTAGACTGGCTGAGTCTTTCCCATTCATCCCAACTCAGCTGAGACACCTTTTATTCAGTCATTCATTCCACAAATATGTATTAAACAGTTTTTCCGTGGATGGTGTGACTCAGTTGGTTGAAGCATTCTCCCATAACTGAAAGGCTACAGATTTGATCCCTAGCCCTGGAAACGTATGATTTCACATTGATGTTTGTCTTTCTTCCTTCCTCTTTCTTTAAAAGCAATGTTTTAAAAAATGTCCTTGGGTGAAGATATATCTCTATATCTGTCACACAGTTGCTATGTGCCAGGGGCTTGGGACAGAGTGGGGAAGAGACAGTGGGTTTGGCTCTCATGGAACCAACATTCTGGAATAGAGAGGAAGAAGACAAAGAAATAAGAAATTCAGATAACATAAGGCTAAAGGCAGAGAGAGGCTGGGAAGGAGAGAAGGGGGTCAGTGAAGGTGTTTCCAGGAAGTGAAGTTTGAGCTGAGATTTTTGTAGGCCAAGGGAAGACTCAGGAAGAATTCACCTGTCAGAGAAAATGGTGCGTGCGTAGTCAGAGGCAGGGGGACAAGCTTGCTGTGGATGAGGCACAGAAATAAGGTCTGAGCGGCTCTGGAAAGTGATTGTGGGGAGATTAGTATGAAATGAATTTGGAGAAAGCAAGAGCCACATCTACCATGGGCTTGTTTGCCATGGAAGGAAACCTGGATTTTACCCTCCAAACTTTTGGGAACCACTGGTGTTTAATTCAAAGTTTTATTTATATATTTAACTGGATTTTAATTGGGGGTGTTATCATTTAAAAATTACGTTAAACACACATATGCAAAACCAAAACCAAACAAACAAAAAACTAGTCTTGGCCCCCGAGTGGGGATCAGAGTGGAAACAAGCAGACCAGTGAGGAAGCAACTGCAGAGACGCAGGTAGGAAATGATGGTGATTGGACCACAGTTATGTACTGGGTTGGCCAAAAGGTTCGTTTGTTTGTTTTCCAGAAAGAAGGCTCCAGTAGCACTTAGTTGCCTTTAACTTCATTCAAAAACAATGTAGTCAGATTATATTGTGACAGGTATCATATCAGCAAGCATTAAAAGAACACTGATCAAATCTGGCGAATTTTTGTGTAGCCATTTTATTTTTTTTAGGTTCCACTTATAAGTGAGATTATATGATATTTGTCTTTCACTGCCTGGTTTATTTCACTCAGCATAATACTCTCCAGTTCCATCCATGCTGTCATGAAGGGTAGGAGCTCCTTCTTTCTTTCTGATGCATAGAATTCCATTGTGTAAATGTACATAGGTTTTTGATCTATCCATTTGCAGATAAGCACTTAGGTTGCTTCCAGCACTTGGCTATTGTAAATTGTGCTGCTATGAACATTGGGGTGCACAGGTTCTTTTGAATTGGTGTTTCAGGATTGTTAGGATATAACCCAAGCAATGGAGTTGCTGGGTCAAAAGGCAGTTCCATTTTTACTTTTCTGAGGAAATTCCATACTGTTTTCCACAGTAGGTACACTAGTCTGCATTCCCACCAACAGTGTACGAGGGTTCTCTTTTCTCTACAACCTTGCCAGCACTTGTTTGTTGATCTGGTTATGATAGCCCGTTTTAATATTGAAGATGGAAGAAAACATGCAATATTTTCAGCATGTTAGGCTCTATTATTTCAAGAAAGGTAAAAATGCAACTGAAACACAAAAAACAATTTGTGCAGTGTATGGAGAAGGTGCTGTGATTGATCGAATGTGTCAAAAGTGATTTGCGAAGTTTTGTGCTGGAGATGTCTCACTGGATGGTGCTCCATGGTTGAGTGGACCAGAAGTTGACAGTAATCAAACTGAGACATTAATTGAGAAGAAT